AGGTGGGACTGCAATAGGGAGGGTGAGCAGGAAGGTATATAAAGGCTTCAGGAGAGCCATGAAGATACTGAGAGACCTGGAGCCTGGAGGAAGCGCCTGGCTCAGCTGGGATAAAGAGACTGTGGTCGGTGCTCAGAACTGGTGAGTAGTTGTCCTCCCTTGGGTCATGCAGTTTGATAAAGGGACCATTAGACCAAGATGGATCAAAATTTTCATTTCTGTCTCTTCAGATGAACACATTGAAGACAATGAGTAAAGGTCTAAATGAAGTTCCACCTCCATCTCAAATGTCTTTGTATAAAATTTTGTGATTTCATTATGTTTGTTGTTTTGAGACAAGGGTTTCTATGTTGTTCAAGCTGTCCTAGAACTGGCCCTGGAGTTCTGGGAAGGCTGGAAATCAAGATCCTCCTGACTCTGGGTGCTGAGGTTATTAGCATATTCCCTTGTACACTGTGGTACATTCACACTACTGTTTTTATTTGTTTTGTGGAACAAGGGCTCTTGTGGAACTGTAGACCACTTATCTTAGCCTCTTTGGCAGTTCCTCTGCTTCAGACTCGCAGTAGCTGGAATTGCTTGTGAGTTCTATCTTGACTCAGGCTTTAGCCTGCATCTTTTTTATATCAACTTAACGAAACATTGACGACAAAAGGCTTTTTTTTTTTTTTTTTTTTTTTTTTTTTTGAGAAACGGTCACTCGTAAGGTGACCTGGAAATCATGTACCCAGTAGTTTTATAGAGAGGCTCACATGATGTCAGTGAGAAACTAGATTTACATTCCAAGTTAGGACAAAGGCTTAAGTTGAGGACTCTACCATTGCCAGAGCAATTGACTCGGACCTTGAGTGGTTACTGTTCTGGGGGAGGAAGTTTTCTAAACTTTATCTTGAAGATATATTCTCACCTGAATGCTTCCCCAGGAACCTTCTGACTGAAGACCATTCATGATGAGTTTTCAAACCCCACCCACACTGGAGGAGCTGGGCAGGCAGGTGCTGCTGAGAAATGAAGACTTGGCCATCTCTACTCTGGAGAAACTGACCTGGACACTCTTCCCAGCACTGTTCAAGGATGCCTTCAATGGAGGACACACTAGGATTGTGAAGGCAATGGTGGCAGCCTGGCCTTTCCCCTGTCTCCCTGTGGGGACGTTGATGAAGAC